ACTTCTACTACTTTTGCTGTTCATTCTTACATAACCATTTGAAACGATGCCAAATTTGTAGCTTATAATTTTTAATTAACTCCATTTCATGGGTCTATATTACTTTATGGCTTGCTAGACTTTGTTAAGTTTTTTGTTTGTTCTCCATTGTCCTTAGAGATAACGGCACCATAATATTTGCCCAACTATGGGTGTAACTAAATTTGTTGGGATGTGCATATTACTGGATGATGCCATGCACTTTTAATGGGCTCTTCCTTGTCATTGTACACATAAATACATCACATGCCCTCCCTTATACAAGTTTGTGAATTACATCTTGTATGTTAAACCTTTTTTTCCTCATTGTGATTTAACCAGTTCCAGAAATTTTGGAATTCTGCAGCTGGTAGAAAAAGAAGCAAGATACAGAAGACAATTCAATATGCTTGAAGCACACTTCCAAAAACTTGTGGCTTGTGTCAGGTGCAGTTTGCAGAAAAAGTGCATGTGGCAGCAAGCAAACCATTGGAAGTCATGGGTACAATGCATTTGGATTCAGAATGGGCAGTCTCACTTCAGCATAGTTGGAAATGATGGGTCTGGAGTCAACACAGTGTTTGGGGACTTAATTAATGAGGGAGGGGGCAGTGACCATGAGTGAGTGAGTCAGTGAGAGGTAAAGCTGGGTACAAGCAAGCACCATTTTGCACATGGGCACATGGAACAGGGACTCAAGGCAGCAGTTGAGATTGGCTCCTGCCCAACATGCCCCCACCCTCCACCACCGTCACTCACGTGGCATGTCCAGGCAATGGCAATGCCACAGACGACGGTGAATGTTTTGGAACGTGCAAACCACGCTCTCTTAGGTAGCGTGGTGGCAGTTGTTGGTAATACGCACAAGAAAAAAGAGGATGAAGGACACCAGCTTTGTTGGGGACAAGTTGGATCCTCAAAATCAACGCGTCGAAACTTAGCTGTGCAGTGCAAAAAATCAGTCCGCCAACACCGGGAAGGTCCATTTTGACAGCCCCCGTTGGGAGGCACTTAATTTTAGGATTAAGACCCAAACTTGCTTACAGTTTTGCTTTTACCTTTTCAATGTGCTGCTGATTTTACATTTTTTTGTTTTACAATAAATAACTTAACAAATTCCCTGTCCAATATTACTTAGAAATTCATATATATAAATATATATTAGACTTTTTTTAAAGTTTATAAAGAATGATGATGTCTCCAATTGGCACTAGTTCAAAATCAATAAAAAATTTCAGTAAAATGATGATAAATTCTTTATACCAAAGAAATCAATATAAAGAATTAAAGTAAATAAAGTGCTAGGTCGGCAGGAAAAATGGTACGCTGCATTGCATGAGTGGGATGCATGATCATCATTTGAAATTGACCTACCGATTCTTCCCACTCATATTCTAATTCTCCTTCACATTTTTATTTCCTCGTGCCTGGCCCGCTTGTTGTTTTCATCTTATTTGGTCTAGTCAAAAAAACTTGAATTTAGAAACATAAATTACTTTAAAACAAAAATTTAATTAATAAGATATGAATATTTAGTTCATTAATTAATATATAATTATGTTCGTTTTCTCAATGAAATAAAAATAAAACCTTAATTAATGCTACTAATTACTATAATTATGGAATATAAAAGTAGAATAAGCCCAAAAAAGAATAATAAGATACTACCACTAGCACAAAAGCTTTTGTCTGTCCAATTACTTAACAGTCTTGTGTTTGAACACACGTTTTCTCCACTCTCAATCTCAATCTCAATCTCAATCTCTCCCGTCTACTTCTTCTTCTTCTTCAAATTCAATCATTCGTTTTCTAGGGTTTTACATTTCCACTCAGATCTCTGAATACCCAGTTTTGATAACCCAACAGGAGAACAAGATATGCCATGCGTGCCATTGATGACCTAGGCAGATACATAACGGGGGATTCATAGAGCAAAAGAGAGAGAAGAAGAAAAGTTGGGCCTCTCTCTCTCTTTCTGCTTGTGTGTGTAAAAACACCCGAAAAGGCCAGTTTCTTTTTGGTGGGAGAGAATAACCCTTATGGGTCAAGATAATTTCACTCCGCAGAAGAGATCTTCCACTGGCGGCGGAGGCGGGTTACCTACAACCAACAACGCGGCGGCAGGAGGCGGAAGAAACCGTGGATTTCCTGCAATGCCGCGTGGCAGGCAGATCCACAAGACCTTCAACAACATTAAAATCACAATCCTTTGTGGCTTCGTAACGATCCTCGTCCTACGTGGCACCATCGGCGTCGGCAGTTTGGGGAGCTCCGAAGCCGAAGCTGTCAACCAAAACCTGATAGAAGAAACCAACCGGATCCTAGCCGAGATCCGCTCCGACTCCGACCCTACCGATCCGGACGAACCTCCCGAAACTGAGATCAACCCCAATATAACCTTCACTCTCGGACCTAAAATCTCGGACTGGGATCAGCAGCGTAAGGTTTGGATTTCCCAAAACCCTGAATTCCCTAATTTTGTTAATGGAAAAGCTCGAATCTTGCTCGTTACTGGGTCGCCCCCAAACCCGTGTGATAATGCTATAGGAGACCATTATTTGTTGAAATCCATAAAGAATAAGATTGATTATTGTAGGCTTCATGGGATTGAAATTGTTTATAATATGGCTCATTTAGATAGGGAACTCGCCGGGTACTGGGCGAAGTTGCCTTTGATTAGGAGGTTAATGTTGTCTCATCCGGAGGTTGAGTGGATTTGGTGGATGGATAGTGATGCTTTTTTTACGGATATGGTGTTTGAGATTCCGTTATCGAAGTATGATAAGTATAATTTGGTTGTTCATGGGTACCCCGATTTGATGTTCGAGCAGAAGTCCTGGATTGCTTTGAATACGGGGAGTTTTCTGTTTAGGAATTGTCAGTGGTCATTGGATTTGCTTGATGCGTGGGCACCGATGGGACCTAAGGGCCTGATTCGTGAGGAAGCAGGGAAGGTTTTGACTGCTAATTTGAAAGGAAGGCCAGCATTTGAAGCAGATGATCAGTCAGCTTTGATTTATTTGTTGCTCTCGCAGAAGGATCAATGGATGGATAAGGTGTTTCTTGAGAATCAGTATTATTTGCATGGGTATTGGGCAGGGTTGGTCGATAGGTATGAGGAGATGATTGAGAAATATCATCCAGGCTTGGGGGATGAGAGGTGGCCGTTTGTGACTCATTTTGTTGGTTGCAAGCCTTGTGGGAGTTATGGAGATTACCCTGTTGAGAGGTGCTTGCGCAGCATGCAACGGGCTTTCAATTTTGCTGATAACCAGGTGCTTAAGTTGTATGGATTTAGACATAGGGGATTGTTAGGCCCCAACATTAAGAGGATCAGGAATGAGACAGTGACTCCTTTGGAGATTGTTGATCAGCTTGATATTCGCCGTTCAGTGCATGGAAAAAGTGGATCACAGAGCTAGTGGTTGAAACATATTTAATGTGTCATAATGTGTAGGTGATGTAATTCCTCAATTGAAAAGCAAATTTGAATTTGATAACAGTTTAAGTTTGAGTAAGTTTTCATTGATCTGTTGTCATTGTGCTGCTTTGAGAACAAGGGAGTAGAATTCTTTTATTAACATCAATTTGTCTTCCTTCGATATTTGAGTGATTTATGAAGGAAATATATAGTCAACATTACATCACTTGTTTTTGCATATTCTTTTATGGCGCTTGGACTTAGTTTCACTTGCGATAAATTTCGCCTTGCTTGGTATTGAATGAAATGAAAGTTGTTGTTTCCATGTCCTTAGTGGTAGAGCGGCCAAAAGAGTGGCAAAATCCAAGATGTGAAGATGCCATTTTCAAATTGATCAATCTGCCTTGGTGTTTTTTAATCCTACCTCACTATGTCAGGATGAAGAGCATATTCATACCTCTGGTATGCATTGCCATGTGCATGCAATGTAAGTGGTTTATTCAGTTCAGAGCGTCCATGTAGTGAAAACGTGTGTGATGAGGAGTCTTTTATTTGAATGTGAACTGTGAAAGATGCTTGACAATGCTAGAGCACCTACCTAAGGAAGTATCACTTTCAATTGATCTATTTTGTTTTGTCCGATGTATGCAATAGAATCTAGGTTATTGGAAGCGGTGACTTTTGGACATAACTAGACTGCTCTGTTTTGGTTGCCACTTATATTACATCCATACTTAAAATTGACAGTGGTTTAAATAACTTGTATATTTCTAATCACGCATTCCCTTTCTTCTTAGTTGAAGCTCTTTGTACATTAGCTTATTTCTGTTTCTTCTGAAGCAATTGGTAAAATGATGGAAAACTAGTCTTCTTAAAGGCTAGAAGCCAAGACTTTGTTAATTCGTGGGAACCACTTTATCTGCTTGAAATGGTTCACACGTCTTTAAGGTGTTTTTGGTTCTCCCAAGAGTGGGTTTAGAAGATTTCACAGGTTAGATAGTAATTTTGAGTTCCGTTGGCTCTCATGTAGCATAGGTTATATCCATTTCTAGATTCACATGTACAAAATGTTGATGTAACCCAATCAGTTGGCCATGCCTCAATATTTGTGAGCTGAAAGCAACCTGGCTACAAAGTAGATGAGAATGTGTATTTCTTTTCTTGTCTTGTGGGATTTGGTTTTGAACGCGGTTTATTAGGTGAATTTGTCATGATTACTCCAATAAACAGGGCAGCAAATGACTGGCATTGATTCATGAACAAATAAAAGAAGGGGGATTCAATTCAACATTTTTCGCATAGTAAAGGAGATTAAATTCAGAATTTGAACATTACAGACTGGTTTCCTTTCAATAGTTCCCTATTGTTTACCTGTCTGTGGCATGTCGAACTCCATAGGAAGTCAAGAATATTTCACTCCCCAGGCCCCATATAAAAGAAAAAGAAAAGAGCATTCCATTCCCAAGAATCAAGAAGCCTTTCTATTATTCTCTTTTCTTCATTCTACAATTTGCTTCCCTCCTAACTCTGGGAATCCTTGAGAAGCAGAAACTTACTAAATTTGACCCTTGTGAGGCCGCATTTTTCTTCTACCAAACGCTCGAAAACTAGGCTTCTTAGTGATAAATGAACCATAATCCAAAAGTACCAGTTTGTGAAGTATTGTTTTAATCTGGGTCTATGTTGAATGAGACAACATGTCATCCATGTTATATTTTCCTTTTCTTTATTGAAAGCATCAATCTTTATCAATTTTAAAGCCAAATGGAGGTGAAAGGGTGTTGATGGTGCCATGGTAAGAAAACACAAAAAATAAAGAAATTTATAAACAAATTGATATGGCGAAAGCAAGCAAGGGATGATCATGACTGAGGGCTAAAATGATAATCAGATGAAGAAACAACCAAGTCTACAAATATACACAAATTCATACTAATATATATTACATATATTATTTTATGAATTTGGAAAAATTTACCTAACATCTCAAACAGATGCTACAAATGGGGTCCGGTTTGAAGCTAAAGCTTTATGACGTGCTACCAACACTTGATTCATTTCAGCAATCTGGTTTAACAGTCCTCTAATTTTCTGCAACACAACATGTTTGAATCCAATGAATTTTCCCATCAAATTCACATCCATATACAAACACACACAAGCATTTCCACAAACACCTTACCTCATCTTTCTCCTTTATACTCCTCGTCAACTGCTCCACGCTCTCTTTCCTACACCTCCGCCGCCTGCACAGCCACCACAACACCGCCGCCGCCGCTACCCCGATAACCCTTCCAAAAGATCCAAATGCTCTCCCCATTGTCCCATTTTTGTAACCGAAATAACGGGCGATGCTCACCATCTTGGCGCGCAAAATCTCAAGCCCGATTCCCAACCATTCTCCGATCCCGCCATCAGCGGATGCTGGGATGACCTCGCTGGCGTCTGGCCGTGGTGGTGAAAGAGTTGACCTGGAAGGCGGGTTATGTTGTTGTTGAATTTGATGGGGGAGATTTTCGTGGTTGACGGGAGGGAAGATGGAGAGGTCGTTGTGTGGAAGAGAGTCTCTGATCATGACCATCGACCATTGCTGCTTTATTTGAGGATTGGGTCTGGGTTTGGATGGTTGTTTGTGATTGATGGAATGGAATTTTTCCCATTCAAATAGCAAGCCTTCCAAAATTCTGTTATTTTCTAGCATTTTTGTAGCTTGAAGTAGAAAAAGTGAGGAGCTGAGAGCTGCTCCCAAACTCAGAAAACAGGGAAGATGGCATGTTGTTTGACCCCCGACACATTACGCCCTGGTAAGGCTAAACCCAGCATTGTAAGACTTTGTGCCATAACCCGGATTGGCCCATTCAGTGTGTCATTCTAAGCATGGCCCAAGTGTGTTGTGTTTGATACGAATGACAGAAGTAGTTCATTTGTTCAAGCATTGGTTTAGCAGTAGCATTGAAAATTGAGAAAGAATTGTAGGGAAATGTTTTCTCAAAAGCACTGTTTCAAGGGGCAAAGGCAAACATTGCTGATTTTGAGTTTTACACAGCATGAATCCATTGAGAGTACATTGTTTGTTTATTTTTTATTTGAATTTTAGGGAATTATAGAAACATAAAGAGTGCATTGTTTATTGAAACTCTACTAAAAGTGCTGCTATACATCAGTTGTAGAAGTCCAAGCTCCCAAGATGCTTTATGTTTCCATTACTACTCAACAAGAAGAAAAACGGGAAAGAGGGGGTGGGTTGAAGGAAAATTAAAATGCAAGGGGAAGTCATTAAATCTGCACAACACATTCTACAAACAAAACATAAGCGTTTTTAGGATTGAATTTGGAACTTCAACCAAAGGACAAGCTGTTGTCTGCTAAAAAATCAACCAATTGATCTTTATCTTCCCTGGACGTTTCCCATATGAGGAAAATGTAACTGAGAACTAACTGTCATATCAGAATCATCACTAGCAGCAGCAGGGTTGGCTTTGGAGTCATCATCTTCACTCGGTTTTTCCAAAGCAATAAGATTACTCTTATCTTCTGGTACATCAATCTGTGAGGAAGCCTCTTGAAGCTGCAATGAATATTCCAAGTTCCACAACACATCTCCCATGCTAGGTCTATCAACTCCGTATTCTGCTAAACATTTCTCTGCAGCTTCCACAAACTTTTTGAGTGATTCTTCACTAATACTCTCAGTAATCTTAGGGTCAACTATCTTCTCAATCATGCCCTTTCTGTGCCACTGCATGGCCCACTCAGCCAAACTAACCTGCTCCCTTGGCAGCGCTGGGCAAATAACTGCCCTTGCGCATAAAACCTCAAAGAGGACTACACCAAAAGAGTAAACATCAGATTTCTCTGTAAGCTGTTGACTCCTGAAGTATTCAGGATCAAGATACCCGAAGCTACCCTTCACTGCAGTGCTAACATGGCCTTGCTCCATAGGTGCGGCTTTTGAGAGGCCGAAATCGGACACTTTAGCTACAAAATTCTCATCAAGAAGAATATTTGTGGTCTTTACATCACGGTGGATAATTCCTTGCGCGGCACCGGTATGGAGATAATGCAATCCTCGAGCTGCACCAATGCAAATATCAAGCCGTTGTTTCCAGGACAAAGTTGGTTTGTTTGAGCCATATAGATGGTCACGAAGTGGACCATTAGCCATGTACTCATAAACCAGAATCATCTCTGATTCCTCATCGCAAAACCCAATGAGTGATACGAGGTGGCGATGCCTGAGCTTGGAAAGCATTTGTATTTCCGTCTGGAATTCGTTTATGCCTTGTTCTGATCCTGGGTTTCCTCTTTTTATAGCGATCTTGGTTCCATCTTCTAAAACCCCAAGGAACACTTTTCCAAACCCGCCCACACCAATCACTGTCTTTTCATCAAAATTCTGTGTTGCATTTTGTAACTCATTGAAAGTGAAGAATCTGCCAAGACCTTGATTTGAGTAAAAACTGGAGTGTCCAGTACTCTTACTTTTTCTGGAGCCAAAGATGCTAGATTTCCTAGAGCTACTCTTGCTGCTTAAGAAACTAGTGTGGCTACCATGAATAGGTAGAAGCCATGCTGAGAAGCTATTCCGCTTTTGCCAATCATGAGGCCGTCTTTTCCACCTAACACATACTATTCCAAGAAACAGCATTGCAAAGAATGCCATAGCAAGCCCTGAAATTGCAACAACTTTCAATTTGCTAGATCCTCCCTTGTATGAACCATCAACAGCAAAAAATCCATCCAAGCTATCTGCTATGTTGCTCATCTTCATGACCTCCAAGCCATTTAGAATAGCATTAGGTAGACCGCCATTGGACGCTGGGCCGACCTGAACCACGATGGAACCATTTGTGATTGCTGAGGCATTGAGCAAAAAATCTGTGTAATATGCAGTGGCCAAGCCACCAGCTTTGGTTGTGAGATCAAGACCAGACAACCCCATTAAGCCGTTTATATATACATTGAAGTACAAGTCATTGCTGGACTTGCTTACAATGTCACAAAAGTGCATCCTGATGAGATAGGAAAAGCTTGCATCAATATCCATCACCCAAGTGAGATTGAAATTTGGTTCCATGGATTGAGCATACGCCTCAGTTGTCATCCTTTGTGCAGTTGCATAAACTAAATCCGGTGCAACCAATGGAGTCATCCGTTTATCAGGCTGGTATTTGATATTAGAACCTGTCACAGCTTCAGCTCCTTGAGGGAACACATTATATGGGGCATCAGGCACCCATGTCCTTGACAATGTATCATTTTTTGGAGTTAATGTCGGCCCTCCCATATTCAATCGATAGGACACTTCTAAAGCATAATTCAACAAGCCGTTGACAGTGTTACCTTGGGGTACTGAAGATGCTGAATCAGAGAGAAGTTCATCAGGAATAGCCACGATCTCAATGGCATTGATGAATGCATAAGAATTCTTCTTGGGCTTGAAAATGAGGGAGAAACGTTCAGTAGCATTAACAAGATATTCCTTGAAAACCACTCTAGTATCATCACTCACAGAGAAGTCATGTAAAAGGACAAACTTGTCTGTATGGACAGTGAAAACTGCAGTTTTCAGATCATACCGAGGGTGAGGAAGCGGGTAGAAGTAGAGACGAACCCAATGTTTCCCTGGCTTGGAGATGAAAAATGTATATGTTGAGTGAGCAGGAAAAATCCTTGCTGTTTTATATAAATCTTGCATGGACGAAGGGGTAGAATTGGAGAAGATACTGCTGGGAATGGAATCCATTGAAGCTTGTACATCTTCACTGGTAGATAGGTAACTACTTGTTTGAGAATCTGACTTGAACGTTCGTCCATCATCAAGCTTTGTTTCGCTAGAAGATCCACAATCGATAAGATAGTTATCAGGAGGCCGATATGCAGCCGGCGAAGAAGAAACAATCGGAGAAGGGGCAGGAGCGGAAGGTTTTTGATTAGCATGTTTTGCCAAAATAAAGTTTGCATGGTTTAACACTAGGAAAATGGAGAGAAAAGAAAGGGAGGAGACACGTAGAGGCCTTGCTGGCCTATGATGATCTCCCCCCATAGCTCAAGGCAGTGGCCAGAAACTGCGGCACTAGCTAACATGGTGGTGACCGTGGTGGTGATGGTGTGGACATGGTGGCGGTGGTGAATGGCAAAAGGCTAGGGAAAGAGGGAGAGTATCAACAAGGGATTTGTACATAGAAAAATGGTTGGCGGGCAGTTAGGCAGAAGGGTAGTTTGTTGGAAGCATGTAGGAGGGGACGTGCAAAGGTGTAATGTGTATGTTAACGGGCACTCTTCATCTGTTTCAATTTTGTTATTATTTGACGAAGGAGGGAAGAAGACTTGGTAAAAGGAGAAAGATATAAGTATTATACACAACAAATAGCGAGCTATGCGTTGGGCCTTGAAAAGCCACTGTGTCACAGCTTATCTTGACAACAAACTAACAAAGAGGAGGGGCAAAAGGGAAGTTGACAGCGCGTACCGTCGTGGGCATGCTCTTTATTCCAGCAGCGTTGAATACAGCGTTTTCATTCTCCTTCTCTATTTCTACTTTCCTATTTGGTGAGAAGCCGAAGCCGCCTGCTCCTCCCGGACTATATAATTATATGTTTTTATTATTAATAATAATAATATGAATGAAATTGGTTTCAGCTACTGATTTTACAACCAAAAAATAAATAAATAGGGATCCACAATCTTTATTAATGTGGCCCAAAGAATATTGAATTAATGTCGTCAAAAACAAATTAAAAAAAAATTACAAACTCGTATACCACTGTACGCTACGACCTTGTGCTTCTGCTGTGAGGTATATTAGACCCCGTCTTATCCTCTGCAACAGAAAGTGGTGATTAGTGAGCATTTCGTGGTGGAGTGCTATGTTGCCTGCCTTACATGCATAACACAATACAAGTGCAAAATCATACCTCTGCTGTGTCTCTGATTCGCAGCAGCTCCAATCTTTCTGAAGGCCTTCGATTTGACAACGTGGCAAGCTGCACCCAGCCCAGGTTTCAAAAACGTTAGCAACCACCTTAAATATTATAACCATACCCTACCCAGCACATTTATCAAATAAATAACTAGACCATACGTGCACAACTACATAATGGGAGCAAGAACTGTACCCAGAAACTGAAGCGCTCTGGATCTTGTGTATTGGGCATCATTACTTCCATATTATAGAGTGCTTCAAGCACTCTTCGTTCTGTCCGCAACGCAGGAATTGTTTGTATTAGCATGCATGCAATAAAGGAAGCAAAACCACACACGTTTAATGTGATTTAATAGGTTTCAATTCCAGTAATTCAGATCAACTTGCAGTAACCAAGAAATGTCTTGACAATTTCATCAGTAACTAGACCCTTCACGTTAGAGAAAACTCAAGGCTGTAAAGTCACCATGTTTTAGAACAACTATTTCCCTCTACCCTAAAGAAACATGGGATTTTATTTACTCTACATCCCAGCAATTTTTAACGGCTCAAACAACTGACATCATGGACAACTCAGCTAAAAGAGGATTTTCAGAAAGGGTAAAAACATCGGCGAAAAAACCCCTAAACCTTAAGTTTGACACAGGTGATTGCACGTGTCAGTGTTTGCCCATCTTCAATACATAGATAAAATCACGTCAATTTGCCTCAAGAATATGGGGGACAAGTGACATGATACTGTAGCTCAATTTCATAGAAAATTTATCTTAAATGAACTGATATTAGACAAGTAACAATAACAGAATGACAAGCTGAGCTAGGATTTTTAATCTCTAACTATCCTACTAAAGAGTTTTACCATGCGTTGCTTCTTTCGCTGAACTTAACCATGACCGAGCATATGCTGCTGCATTATTTGTCGACTCCTGCAACTGTTAATATCAAAGACATTACACAAATACTGATAAATAAATATATATATATATAAATAAAATAAAAACAATGTGAATACCAAGAGGTGGGTATGCTTGTATCCTGCCATATTCAAGCTATCAAATTTTAATGATTACATAAACTTAAACCTGTGATAATACTTGTAAGATCATATTCGATGTGAAAAATAAATCTTACTGTTTTTGATGAGTTAAGAACAAAAAAAGTAAAGGCATCAAGCAGTTACTAACCCATGTAGGCTAAGGATTACATAACAAATTAGTCAAATCTACCAAAACAGTGAGTCTGAAACCATGTATCTAAAAGCTCCGGCAAGCATGAATCTAACCACTTCAGAAGCCCTTCTATATCTTTCCCTCCCAATAAAAAAAGGGGTGTGGAGAGAGAGAGAGAGAGAAAGAGAAAGGGAAATTAAATAGTCTGTATAAGCATAACCATCCCAACCCCTAGCCTGCCACTACCAAGAGATGCCCAACCAGCGTAAGCTAAAGGTCAAAGCTGTCTCGCCCATGAGCAACTGAAAAGAAGATAATGAACATTGCACTGCTGCCTTACATACAAAGCATCTACTAAATATGAATTTCCCCTCTTTTGGAGGTTATAAATGGTTAATATTCCTCCCAAGATGATTCCCTTTAGTCAAAGAAGCAAACTGAAAACTGAGAAAAGACAAATTTCACCTCCTTGCTGTCTATTGTTTTCGAAATTTGATGTATCTTGCTTCATTTATTCTTTCATTGATAGGGAAAACTAATACAGGTGGGAAATAAGAATAGAGATAATCATACATCTTCTCTATCTCTTGCTTCTGTTGGGAGTATGTCTTGTATCCACTCAACCTCTGCCATTCGATATCTGCATTGAACATAACTAAAGTATGAGGTCCTATGACAAAATCAAGTAGGCATGAGTAATGGGAATTGTGAGTAAAACTGTATGATATACATGAGCCAATGATGAGAAAACGAACCCATCTTGGTCCCAAGATCTGAGGATGCGAAATCTCCTGCGACTTTCAATCTGCATGCCATTTAGTTTATACAAATATATGAATAAGTTTTTTTTTTTTTGCTAATTAAATATGAACATATTATGTAAGAGCCAGAATTTGCTAAATATTTGGGGTCCAACATAAGCATGAAAGATGAGGAAACTGTTTTTGCACGGACCAAATTATCAATCATTCACCAAAAAGAAAAAGGCTTTCTCTAGGAGCCTTTTGCTACTTTCATACAGGTTCAGCTGCTACATTAATAAACTAGAGAATAAAAAAGATTCAAATATTACTGATCGATCTCCTGAATAGAAAACTCACAAATTTCTTTCTGTTTTTCATAATTAAAAAAAAAAACAAAAAAGCTTAGTGATCTACTCATATACCTAAAACTATGCTAGTATTGCATGAGAAAACATGAAAGTTCAATTCTAGAAGACAAGTTTGCTGATATACGACATGACGGTCTAGTTGCCAACAAGCAACATACCAAGCATATACACTTGCAGAAATTTCTAAAGCTAGGTGTCAATAAAGTGAAAACTCCACACGTTTTGTTGGTGAATATATCCATGGGGAATCAAACCAAATATGATTTGCATGTAAGTGAGATCTAAATAACCAGCTTATTCTTGAAGCAACCTCCAAAATCGAAGCAATCAAAGTCCTTTCACCCTTTTGGGAGGGTTGCACAGGCTGCAAAATTTTGCTTCTAGTGAAAACACAAACTGCATCTCAGCTTTCCAAAACTATCTGCATGTTCTTCAAAATTTCCTACTTAAATCCTCTCAAATGTGCAATGACTAATTGAAGATGGTCATTGTTACATTAAATGGAAGGAAAGTGGTCTGTCAAAGCTTCATAAGAAAGGATATGCCTTGTTAAAGTTTTATAAATAAAGGCTCTTTTGATCATAGAGAAAGAAGATAAAAAAAAAATCATTAGTATGCAAAAGGAATAGTTAAGAACAGAAAGCAGAAGAGAGATTTCTTTTTCAAATCATCTTGCCTGAACCACAAGCTAGTGAGAGTCCACTATATGTATGAGCTCATCCAATCATTTGATTTCAAATGATACTCCCATTATTTGTTTGTCTATCCAATATCATTTGTCCACTGTGAAAGCTCAATAAGAATTTGTCTAAGGACTTGCTACTCAACATTTCTCTTATTGTGGATTGCAACTTAAAAACCCATCTATGACCAAGCTAAAAATGTGATGCTGCGCTATAGTCAATGCATTTATTATTTTTTTCCCTAAAATTTGTGCCTTTCCAAAAGGAACAAAAACTTTGAGATGGAGGAATGGTAAATAAATGAAAGCTATTTTACAACTTTATGTGCACATATCACAGAAAAAATGTCATTGAATCAGAGGCAATGGAAAGTCAATAATGTTTCACCTCTAGAACAAAGCGTCCATCAGGAAGTGGCTCACACCTACATATTTCAAACAAGTGACAAGATCATGCAGTTAAAAAACAAAATCTTCTCAAATATAAGCTACTTTGCAAAGCTTTTGGATTACAAGAAAAGGGTGTACAAGCCACCTACTCAGTGATCTCCACTTCACAAGCAAATTCAGCAACAGAATCTGTAGCAGGATCACGGATGACCTATAAATATAATGGACCAACCAAAAACAGAAAAAAAGTGAGGAACTTTTGGTCACTGAACATGTTTGACAAAAGGAAGAAGAAAAAACCAGTAAAAAGAAATCTACCATTCCCATCCGATGATTTCCTTCCATTATTCTCCTTACCTGTTTTGAAGCAAATAAAAAGTAAATCCTCGTGATCAAGGGCAAAAAATACGCACATAGGCTGAAAGGTAAATGACCAATTCAAACTGCTTTTAATTATGAAAAGTGAGCTAACAATTTGGTTTTCCACATTCCAAATCCATAAGCAGCCCCCATAAGACACAGAAACTAATCAGCTTCAACATTATGATGCACCAAAAGTATGACACAGTGATTAAAAACTGCTAGCCGATACTTCAGCTATAAACAGCAAGTATACAGCTCATTAAGCGTTAAAAACATTAGAACTAAAGTTGAGTATCTACTTAGAAGGAAGGGTATTGTTTGCCTCGACAGCCAAATGGAAAAACAGAACGATTAGTTTCTGAGCAACCAGGCTAACTAGCCTGTAAGCCTTGCCAAATTAAAGATTAAATAATTTCTGACAGAACGATTCCTTTAAAAAGTTACATATGAAGTTTATAATATAAAAGATTGCCAAGATATGTTTAAAGGAAAGAGGGAATGATAGTGACATAGAAGGAGCTTGTTCCAACTAGCAAACACAGCCCAACTCAAATTTAGAACAAGAGCAACTCTGCCAAAAGGCTCACAAGCATAGTAAGAAGCCACGGAATTTTGCACTGCCAACTTAGATTTGGATGGAAAAACAACCATGATCTACCCATTTTTCTACACTTTATCCTAATATACAACATGATTAAGATTAGAGAATGCATGAAACTCACCATAAGTCTGTACCGGGGTTCAAATATGTGGAGTGGAAACTTCTGACAAGGGATGACAACATCCATGACGAAAAGAGGTATCACATCATTACCAAAATTTATCAGACTGTCATGCTCCGACTTCCTTTCAGCATATTCTTCTGGGAAGGTCTTTTGTATAATGTTGTTTAGCGTTACACTATCAGACAAAATGTTATTTATAATAGTCAATAAAACAGAATACCCTAATAAAGCTTTATTGAAACCTTTCAAAGATGATAACAGCAAATTAGCACTTAGTAGAAAGTAAAAAGTTCAGATAGAAGACAATTTCCATGCTCGAAAGCATGGACCATATGCAGATATGCCTAGTATTTAACGTTTTAATAGATCCACCAAAAGATTTTTCATAAACCAACTAAATCAACTGGGATCTTGAGATTCTTAATTTCTATCATTGTGCCCCATGAAAACAACAAGAACAGCAGTCTCCTAGTTCAAGGGCAGTGGTAAACTAGTCATTATTAGCCTATTGTAACTCCTACATGGATGCGACGAATGGTTGCTTCTCAACTAATTACATGAGCTAGAGCAAACAGCAGCAGTTGAAGAACACGATTGTTCTCATTATCTGAACAAAAGAACTTCAGTTAATAATCACTGGTCAGAAGCTTACCTGATTGCACATGTTCTAGGACTAATGAAGAGCACCGTTCGGCACAATGGACATTTGTTGCCTATCATTTTAGCACAAGGTCAGATAATAGTATATTGATAAAAATACTACTAGAATTGGAATCAAAAACCACAGATACTCACTACGATCCATTGTCTGAAATAAACATGAGCGACAAAAAGAATGTCCGCAAGGGGTTGTTATAGGTTGATAAAGTAACTTCAGACAAAGTGTGCAATCAAAGTCATCGATACGTTCAGGCAACTCATGGCCTCTAATCCGCATCAAACTGGATGGCATTCTCTCCAAACTCCGAAAAGAAGCCCGAAGAACGTCACTATGTATTTCCAGCAAAACAATCATTCAGATTGGCAAAATTCCTAGTCACTGCATGTCAAATTAAAATATCATAAACTACCTGAAAGGATCAAGTTGAAGACCAGAAAGAATAATATCCCGCGCCATCTCATATCTTTCCAACTGCATGGTCAAAAACAACACATATATTGGAGAAACCAAGGCAGCATAGACATAAACATGTGCATGTGCATGTGTAAATTAAGCAGAATGAGATGTATTGAAAGAGGCCCATAGGAATTTTAGCTTGGACCCCTTTGTATGCATCTTGATCAACGAAAAAAAACGAAAAAAAAAAACACATAATTCAGTCTGTCACTCACCAAAATGAGAGCATTGGCCTTTAAGATGTAGGATCTTACTGCATTATTCTGCAGGCTCATCAGCCTCTCAGCATCCTTAAGAGCAAGCTGAAATAAATGTTAAAAAGTTTCACCCTTTCAGAATGTCTGCAACGGCGATAAAATCCAAAATGCAAAATGTTCTTCTCAGCCATTTAAGGAGTGAAGAAACAGGCATACTTCAGCAAGTGTTGTCATATCCAGCCCATTCAAGGGTCTATATTCAGAAGCTGTTGGAGATCTACGTTTCAGAAATTGACTAATCCTGCATAAGAATTACCACAAATCCTCCATCATGTTTGACTGGTAGTACAGAACTTGTTCAAAGGATGCCAAACAAATATGTGAATAAAAAAGAAAAGCAAAAATTATATACATGCACATGTGTAAATGCTATATCTATTTATGTACAAATCTATACAACACAATGACAATAGACATTGAACCTAACCTCAAGTAGGCAGCACTTCTGTTACCAAGAATAACATGATCACCAGGTTTGATGTTATTGGCCCTAGTGTAATTGTTGATTGCCTGAATGAAGAATGCTATTTATCAGCAACAGATCAACATAAGATATAAACATGTAATTAAAAAGATAATTCTTATGAAAAAATTCACCCTTCTTGTTTCAGTCATCAGAAGAAACAGGCACAGAAAAAGTAGCAAAACAACATTGAGCACATTTTACTCTGAAACTTTAATCCATCTAGTTAAGCCCTTCAAAGTATTTGGGTTTGCATTTCCATGTTCAAGAACTAAAGAGATAAAAGTACTTTACCAGTGATATCTTTTAGTTTAAAATGCAAAGAAACACCGCATGAAAATTCAACAAAATTGCAGAATGCAATTAAAATTATAAAAGCCATTATGCAAAGAAAAATTTAACCTCCTCAAAACGATTCTCTCGGAATGCTCGATTTCCATTCTCCACGTGATCATAAACATGACTGTATTGGTCCCATGGCAATGATCCCACTCCTTCATTTGCCTATACTTCAACCAATGTTCGTTAAACTCTCAAATGTAGTCTTAAAGTCACAAACTCTCCAAAGAAACTATGCACAATAACTGGAGTAGATATTTCCATAAATTAATGGACAACACATGAATATACTAAAATCTCAACTCCCATAGTCATCAAGGTTTGCAAACGAAACACAAACTTCAAAGGTAAAGATCATCACTTTTTTTCTTTGGTCGCAGACGAGCAGTCATTACAGCCATATATGATAACAAACCAGCTATTTTCATTTTAGATTAATTTTGACCAAAATTTAATGTGCCAATAAAGTAAAAACATTTGCTGGTTCAAAGTAGCAGATTCATAAAGTAAAGGAACGAAATTTCAATTTCTATTTTAGCTTCCTAGGAATTCTCAGCAGCCAAACAGATAGTGAAAGAGAAAACAAATGAAGAAGACACTTAAATTTTGTGTCCTTTCCCACATTGTCCTCAGCTACTAAACAATTCTAAGATAACCACAACTAAAACAAACAAGTTTGAAGGAGTAACCAAAAACACACTGAATACAACCGTTTGCTCTCCAAGAAAATGCAGGAAACTGATGGAAACTTCATTATTTCTTACAATCGTAGCTCTTTAGTTTCTTTTAAAGAAACAATAAAACATGAAAATGAAAATTATCTCAACTAGGAAAAAAAAGCTCAACAGAACATATAATCTTGTTTTTCTCAGCCCTCAATAAAGGATCAACTTTATTAAATAGAATTTTAAGCCATTTATTCAAAAATAAATAAATAAATTTTCATTTTTTATTCTCCGAAATTCAGTAGTTAAGAAAGAAAGGAACCAAAAAATCTTGCTTAGACCAAATAAGAAAACAATTATTTATTGAAAAAACTGCATTTTCTTTAGTTTCTTTTTCTACATTTTCTCAGCATACTAACAGTCCTGAGAAGTACAAGAAGTACTCACCCAAACGTAGTCTTCCACGTCATCAATTCCTTCCAGGACGATTCCAGAAGACGACGCCGTCTCGCCGGACATTGCCGCAAAACCAAAACAGAAACTCCAAAAAAATAAAAACACTTGAAACAGAAAGAAGAAATATCAGCTGGGAAACTGAAGTTGAAAGGAAAAGCTGAAGAGAATCTCCGGCAAATCGCGTTTCGTTCTCCGTCCTTTGTTTCTCGCATGGACCAAAATCCTCTACGTGTTCTCCTTTCTTCCCTCCTCGAATCTTCCTCTACAAGAGTCACTAACATTAAAATGTCGATTTTTTGCTTTTTTTTTTTTTTACTTTTTCAATATTTTAGAGGCTGAGAGCTCCTCTGGCAACTCAGCCCCGTTTTCCATTTTTATTTTTTATTTTTTACAGTTCTTTTTCTGCCAGGAAGTTTCATCTCTCGTAAGCCGGCTTTTATATGTAGAGGAGAGCCGGTCCAGTGTTTTAGTCTTATCCTTGAACGGGTGCATTCACTAGAGGATTAACGCGGGTGAAATAAGGAGTTGTGAATGTGGATATTTTTGATTGGGCTATGGAGTTGACTCTTGCGGTTTATTTTGCGTGAGCGTACTTTTGTAATGCGCGTGTATTACACACTCGTTGTTTTGTGAGTGGTGGTTGCACGTGCATTACCTTAACTAGGAAGTCCAGGAGTGATTGTTGGCTGCTGGCCTTGTAAGAAAATGCTGAGTGTGTCATGGATAAATAAACAAAAGTGGGCTTTTATAAATTAATAACAAAATAATTGGACATCCATTGACAGCACATGGTCCATGGTTGAACTTCAAACATTCATACAATTCAAGTGAAATCCATTTTATTTTCATCCCACATTATACACTTAATATACATAATCATGATTCTTTAAGCCCATTAGTATAGTTACATAATTATATCTAAATTGTTTATTTATATAATAAATTTTATTAAAAAAACCAAATGTTAGATCAATGAATTAATTTATTGAGATTGATTGAAATAGGTTTTTATACTAAATATAAATATTTTTATATACTATGATATGATAATTATCAATACGCGAGACTTATTTTTATTAGATAAAATCTTAGTAAAAGTTTATCCATAATTAACTTAAACTACTCACGCGTTTAAAATCTGTGCCGCTTTAGTGTCTTGAATGCATATATATTATATGGTGTTGGCAATGAGAATCTAGCAGGAGAATGGGGATGCAGATGAGGAGGGTGAGTTGGAGCCAGGAATAGTAATAAAGAAAGCCGACTGGACTTGTATGAAGATCGGCAACCGTCAAGCCTGAGACCACCACCTTATAACAAACACCAAATGACAAAACTTTATATGCTTTAAAGCCTCAAGACAAATTAATCTCCCAACACATGCAACCGCCAGCCTTAGATTCAACCACCTGAAACAGTCCACAGAGCTGCAAATCCTTTTGCTTTTCTTTTAGATTGGGATAAGTTAGTGATGGGAATCAAGATTCTAAGTTTGAAAGGATGAAAAATGAAAATTATAAAATTTTTAAAAAATAAAAATAAAATTTTAAAATAAACCAAAGAAAAAAAATATAAATTTTTAGGCAGTTTGGGATAAAGTGGTATTAATGAAGGTTTGGGAGAGTTAGGCAGGTTTAGGCAAGGAGTGAGTGGTTTTGTTCGGGGTAAGGTGTGTTGGCTTATCATATTATTCTCCACGTTCCAGGGATGATATCCACATTTCCAAGGGTTGGTCAAGACTTATCTCTTTTGTGGGGGATGCGAAAGCAGCCAACATCCAAATATATATACAAATGGTGTTACGGCTTTGTGTGGCCTTGTTTGTTTTATATGTGGCATTCCCATTTGGATCTTTCCCCCCATTCGGTTGGATTTTTCTTAAACTTTGAGACTGCAACATCTACGTACGGATTTTTTTTAAACAATGGATTTTTAGGGTTTATCCAAAAATAGAATATGTTGTGATATGACTACTCAAAATGCCCTTTATTTCATAATATATATATATATATATTTCACTAAGATTAAATTGATAATAAAAGGTGCGGCACAATGATTTAGCAAAAGAAAATTAATAGATAATTGTTACTGCTCTAGGTGCCTGCCTGCCTGCCTGCCTGGTCTTATCGAGTTTTGTCCCCTGTTTTTGTTTTCTCCTTCCTGCCTTTGAGTTGTTCTGGGTCTTTGGTGAGTACAGCCGCTCTGGGTGCCTTTGTTTTTTTTACACCTGCTGGAGCTGGGGAATTGTGCATTTGACAAGGTTTTGTTCGTTTCTCTTGAATCCTACACCTTACTTAATCTATCAATGAAATGATGCCTTCCAAAAAAACGAAAAGAAACACTAAATTTAAGTACCATTATAGTACATATAATTGGATAACACGTATAATTTTTTAAATGAATAAAAAATTTTAATTTTAAACATATTGTAATTAATGTTCGATATTCAACATAGAAAGAATTAAATAAAAAAACTAAAGTCTAACTACTAACTAAAAGAGGCCTAGGATTGCTCTTTTTAAGAGAAGTTAAACATACAAATTTTTTTCCTTTATTTTTGGAGTTAACACTATATATGGAATGTCGACACCAAATATAATAAAGTTAAACACAAACACAATACGAATAATTATTCGTGTTAGCATCTAAAACATATATACGTATCTATTTAATAATTGTGTAATATGACATAATATGATTAACACATTTTTTAAATGTGTCAAGATTTATTATATGACACGACATGATTAAACGATTAATATAATTTTTTCTTAACGTGATTAATACCTTTAACACGATTAACTTAAAATATTTATAATTAAATATAATTTTATTATTCAAATTTAAAATCAATAATTATAAAAATAATTATAACAAAATAATAATAAATATCAAATATAATCAAATTTAACATAAATAACATATATAAAACTCATTACAACACTAATAAAATCTATCATTAATATTAAACATATTACTTATACATATTTAAATACGATAATACGATTAATTAAATGTGTTTAAACATGTTAACCGTATCGATACAATTAAAATATGAAACACGATAAAATTAAATCTAAACTTGTTTAATTTCATGTCTTCTTGTGTCATATCAAAAATTACCATGTCTAATTTTATTATTGTACTTCCAAATGCATTAAAAAATAAAATAAAAGAAGGCTTGGAAAATATAAGAATTTAACCTTTTTACACCTAGATAAAAGGAATCATACAAAAATAAAAGTCCAAGGAAAAATCTATAATACCCCTACAAGGTGAAAAATGGATATTGCTATCTACTTCAATATATATATTCTTCTAAAAGTAAGCTTGCCTTTGATTATTGATATTTGATACAAGAAATTAAATTCCTAATTTTTTTATTAACCAATGATCCAGCTTTAAACACGATGATCCATCTCCAACACAAATCTTGTTCTTTTTGGTCCATAATTAATTTAATAAACAAATCACTCGAAATCGATTATGGGTTCTCTATCCAAAATATTGCTAATTAATTATGTATCCATAAGACTAGGTCAATGGCTCAATATCAATGTCCAAATTTAAAAATAAAAATTAAAACAGTTTTAATCACATATATATATATATATATATATATATATATAGTCAATAGCACTGTATGAGGGCAAGAAATTGTTTTTATAATTATTCTTTGAATTTGTCTTAAAGTAATTGGAATGAACCACTTTGAAACTGAGAGTCATCTCCATTGGCGGCCAATGAAGGGACTTGTATAAAGAGTGAGATGTAGGTGAAATTCTCTTAAAATAAATTAAGTTTGTGAATATTCTTTTATATGAAATCTCATCAACTTAATTAATTGAAGCATACGTAAAAGTAAAGCTTATAGTAATTTGGGACCACTTTAAACATGAAAATGGGCAGATGTTATTGTCACATTGATCATTTGGCGGCCCAATTGTAAAGTAATGAAGAGCTTGGATGGCCGTAAGAGGAATCTATAGGCTTTTGCCCTTGATGGAATTAGCTTATGTATTGGGCGGTCACACTCTTTAATAATAATAATATATATATATATATATATATATATTTTACATATTTGAAGGTGAAGGGAATCCCTAGTGCAGACTGTTTGATCTTCATCTTCTGTTATATATAAACTTGTTATTCGAACTTATTCCAAATTCGAATATAGAGTATTTATATCTTATATAATTGAGTTGGGTACATGAAAATATCCGATTAAAAGATACCTATTGTCATCCTTAATTATATAATTTATCATATAAGGCATATAATACTATTTGATTATTGCTTTGATTAAGTGATGATAGAGGTTTGCAACTATTTTTAGATTTTATTTAGACTATGACAAGAACATATCATAAAGTTTAGATTCCAATTCTCTCCAAAGGTAGAAATCTAGTTTACGCAACTAAAAGCAGTGCAAACAAGTAGCACTTTATGATCTCTATACAAGTCAAAAATTGACCCTCCTTTGTTGGTTTATCCAATGGCTAACTAAGCAACTTGTTTAGAATAAAATCTATCTTAATTTTGGGATTAATGATTCTTTAGATTGTTGACCTTTCTTATTATAGATTGACAATCAATTGAAACGAATCTCTTTTTGATTTCTTTAACATTTGCAAATCTTTGACTCTCATTAGTTTGTTTTTTCCCCAACATTTAACAAAAGTAAAAGCAAGTGGGAAGGCAAATTAATCAAGTGAAAAGATGTGAAGGGGATTATAGTTTTCAAAGATGCGCAAGACGTGAGCCTATTTGTTGTCTTAATACAGGGACAGCTGAACCCAATGGTTTCAGTTGGGCCTGGCTTTGTTTCATTCTTCTACCAATATTTTGACTCGACTTTTTTTTTAATTAAAAGAAAAGTCTAATATCAACAACTGTGGATTAAAGTACAAAAAATTTAATTAAATATTTATTCTATTATTGTATTCAATCAAATTTTTATAATTTTATTTTATATCAAATAATTTTTTATAATTAATCATTAATTAAATTATATTAGTTGACATTAGACACGAAAGGTAAAAAATTATCATGTATTCATATTAACATGCCATATCATCATGCACTATAACATTTCAACATGTTATATTAGCATCATATGACATAAAATGATAAGTAACATTTTAACTAACAATAATTAATCAAACATTAATTATAAAAGCTCATTTTATCATAAAGAATAAGAGTTTATTTAATTTTTTTTAATAATTCAGAAACCTTTGTTTTAGATATTATGCCTTCCAATAATGATGAAAAGGGCTATCTCATAATTTTTATTATTCTCACAGTATCTTATTTGGATTAAGAAAAAAGAGAAGAAAAGTTTGCTTATCCAACATTGAATACTGCAAATGAAAATACGAAAAAAAAAAATCCAAATTAGATATTATTGGTTGTAAATTGAAAACAAAACAAAAGTATTACAACAATTTTCCATTGATTACAAAGAAA